AACCCCGCGTCCACGAATCCAGAACAACGATTTTCGGGAGGGAAGTAATATTGTCTGCCAATCTGTGCGACAGCTTCTCATACGTCCCACTCGCAAACTCGTGTCCTTTCCTCGATGTAAGGGAAGGGGCACGTTGGCGAGGGAGATACGGGGGGTTGGCGCCCGATCAGGGTACGGCCGTCAGTCCACATATCAATCGATCAAAATGAGTTTGCAAAAACCTCGAGACGTCATCAAAAACCACAATCGAAAAAAAGGACTAATTAATATTTTCCTTCCCTTCGACCTGAGAGAAGCATATACAGCCATGCAATAATCGGGTTGGAGTTTTGAGGGATCAACCCGCGACTCAGTTTCAGCATGCAGGATCGACAAAAATCAAGGCGCCCGGCTAGTTCGAGGCTGCCTCATAGACGGTCTGCAGAGGTCGTGCAGTATAAGGCAGATGGCATGCGCAGTGTATTCAAAACGACAGATCTAAACACTCTTACATTCTCGAACAAAATCCCGTCCAGTTCTGGGTCTAATCAACACAACAAACTCACATGCAAGCATTCCCATGCATACATCCACAGTGGAAGGTGCGAAAAATGGCAATGGTGCATCAAAAACAAATCGGGGGATAGTACACACGCATCCACCATTCACAAGAAAAGGAAATTGAGCTCCCTTACATCTGGGGATTACCTAGGAAACTAATGGAAGAGTTCTGGAAGAAGTTATTCGGGAAATCACGAGGACTCACTTTTGTTCATAGGAGAGACAGACTCATAACACATTGTCATTCGAATCACAGAGAGAGAGAGAGATGGGAGAGGATGACGAGAAATATCGAGACAGAAGACACCGGAATCCGACATGGGAACATTCGGCTTCACAGCCATAAACTCACACCAAAAGAAATGATCGGCAACCATGAAGGCGCATTCGCAGTGAAATTCCAGTATGGCCCCGGGCCAATCATCCACTCAACTCCAATTACCGATCCTCATACCCGCACCGACGATCCCGACCGTCGTGTGCTATCTTCCGCAGTTGCGATCGTCACCCCGCTGACGCATGCTCGACACGGCTCGCCCGGATCCCATAGTCTGTTGTGGCAATCAAGCGCACAACCAGCCAGCGTACAGTCAGCCCGACAGGACTTTCCGACTCGCACCCAACGCATCACCTAGCCACTGCTTCCCGGAAGCTGGCTTGTGAGTCCAAAATGTAAGAGAGATTTGCGGGCGCGCTTGCGAAATTTATAGTTGCGAAAAAGAAGACAGACGGGGGAGAAGACAGAGGGGAAATCGAGGTGTATAAGGAGAAGATTCAGCGAGGGGTGCTCAAGGGAAGCCATGTTGATCCTTCGGAACTTGATTTTCAACAAATCAGATTCGTCGCGCAACAGGAAGATCCTCTTTGCTCTACGCGTCTGATTGGTGAGCGAGGGTAATCAGAGGATCAACCGTGCTTTGTGAGCCAAGGTTGAAGAGCGAGAAGGAAAGAGGCGAGAAAAGCAGCGCGAGACGGGTCCAAGATTCAGATGATCAAAAAGGTAAAACAGGCGCGGAAGGAGTAGAGAGAGGGAAAAACAGTTGCGATAGGGAAAGAAGAGGAGGGAGAAGGGAGAGAGAAGAATGACACAGGAAATAAGGAGGAGGAAGCTCGCATGCGTGGCGCCGACAGCAAAAAGAAAAAAGCACCGAAACAGTTACAGTTTGCCTATGTCCTACACCAATTCAAAAATTAAAATCACCATATCCGCGCGCAAAAGTTGACGCGGGACAAGAAAGTCTTATGCCTATCCGTATTCTCACAAAATTCCTAGAGTTTTCTATGACGTGTCTGAGAACATTCATGCAAAGAAAAAGACATGTCGGGTTCCGCCTATTCCGGAATTCCTAACTGTCGAGCCCGATTCCCAGTGCGCTCGCTTGCGCGCGTAATTTCCCATGCATTTCCCGAATTACAAAAAGCAGAATTCCAAGAATCAATGGAACCTCCGAAAAAAGGGGGTCTAAACAAGACACTTGAAATCAAGAAAAACGACGGGGGCTTTGTTGGGCTAGTATGATACAAAAAAAAAAAAAAAAATTGAGTCCGGGGGTACGAAAGATAGCACGGGGTCGGGAATTGGTTTGTCAAAGGTACTCACGATCCCGCAGGCACTCCGCGCACATGGGATGGGGCCAGTAGGGGGCAATGGCGGGCTAGGGGACGACGGTTAAGGAGTGATAGGGCAGGATGCGGTGGTAGGGAGGGAGCTCGGTCCCTAGGATAATGATTCCGGGTTCCATGACGACGTGACACGTGTATGGGCTAGAGTAATTGGGGAGATGGGGAATACGTCCCAAAGCCTGGTCGAGGTCCCACTCGGAAATAAGTTCGTTCCCCATCAGGTAAGGAAAGTTGGGAGGTTCCGCCCAGGGTCGTGCAGACAAACAAGAGTGCTCCCAATGTTCGTGGAATTTCCGATCCCTCAAACACTCGCGGTTAGTGGCACGAAAGGGAATGCCGAAATTCATGCTGCAAGTCGGCGGAAACATCAGCCGTTAGTCGAGTTCGGGTTTCACAAACGCGCGCGTAGGCAGCGATCGTCTTGATCGGGCCTACGTGTGCGTGCGCAGGGCCTGTCCTTGATCGGGTAGGTGAAAGCAAGCGAGACACGTGATGGGTCGTCTTTCTAGAGAGATGGTCATCTATCATGCCTATCAGATTCATGCACAGACAAAATCGCGCCTATCTATCATACATTCAGCTAGCATACATACAACCAGAAAGAATAAAGGATCATGCAACAGGTTTTTGGCCAATCATCCCATAGATCACACAATCCCCGATTGCTGGTAACCAATCAATCAGATTTGCAGATTAAAAAAGGACAGAGAGTAGGGGAAGACAACCATACATCAATCTCTGAAAAGAAACAAAAGAAAAATAATTGAAAAATCCGAGATACCGATCCGAAAAGGAAAAGGGCGACTCACACTGAATATCAAAATTGCTCAGAAGGATAAAAGAAGAAGTCACATTGCTTAGAAGGATAGAAAAAGAAGCCACATTGCTTAGAAAGATAGATTAAGAAGCTCTCCACACCCCTCTCTTCTCTCTCTCTCTCTTCTCTCTCTCTCTCTCTCTCTCTCTCTCTCTCTCTCTCTCTCTCTCTCTCTCTCTCTCTCTTCTCATCTCATCACCCCGATGCGGGCAGTCTGTCGCCTCGCACACACAAAGAGTTGTCACCCTGCTTAATCTGGGCATGCAAGTCAGGTCGCCCGTGCACCACAGTCCGTCGCGGCCCCACGTCAACCCCGCATCATCCCACATGCCCAGCATCAGCTCGTCGGATCGCCCAACTCTCTACTCACCTGACAGCTCTTGCTCGTTGGCTGATCCTCTCGACCACGCTAACTCCAACACTCTTAGAAAGCGAATTAATCGCGCTTGCGAAATTTATAGCATGCATGCTCGCGCGAGATGCTTGGGATTGGGTCTGAAGGGAAAGAAAGGAGGAAGGAGAAAGTGCTTACATCTGCTTGGTCAGGCCGCGGTGTGGGGGGCGTAGCCACGCTCCACACATCGATCCGGTCATGCAAGCAATCAGGCCAATAGGACGGGGGAGAAGTATGCTACTATGCGCACACAGGGGTGCCACAAAAGATATCAAGAACAACAGGATTAGAATTGCAATCACGCCCGCCAAAAACAAAGATTACAGTTACACGCGAATTTAAGGCGCGGAGAAGTCAAAGCACAGATCTTGACGCGGCAAGGCGTGCATAAGCAAGAAGCGTCGTGCAACGGAAATTGAGATGCGCCTAAATTCCAACTCTAAAATTTATCCTTATTGCAAAAAGAAATTCCGAACGAGACAATTTCCGAGAGCCCACTGGGGCTCGACAGCAGTTGAACATTCAGAAAGATTTTTCCTCGCTACGATTGCGCCAAAATTCCCGTTTCCCCCAACAAAACAAAAAAGAAGTTATGACAACTGTTATTCGTCGCGCTCGCTGAGGCACGACCAACTATCAACCATCGTGGGACCAGACCAGCCTTCACTTGAAAGAGATAAGAAAAAGTGGGGGCATCCATGCAATCCACCAGGCCATCCCGACTTAACCAATTTCATCCCCCGAAATAGCTTTGCGTAGGAAACCGCGAGGTCGCAGAAAATAGTTCGTAACATATGTGATGCCCAGGGGGTTCCAATCTTGATCAAGCTCCTGCTTGCTCTCCGCCATTCACCGTTCTGTGGAATATGCCGACGATCATCGTGGAACCAACACGTGCCACTCACCGAAAGATGAGAATGTGGAAGTCATCCAAGGTGGCATTCGAGTGCTCCGGACCTAGAGGTTGTCGGGGAAGGGTAGTCGTATGACGAGTGGAGGAAGAGGAGGATGAGCTTGGGGGAGAGGTGGTAGAAAGCGACTCTATTCTCGATCTCCAGTGGGGAGTCGGGTATAGTGCACGGTGCGATGGATGCGAGCAAAGCGTGATCTTGGTGCGGGAGCGAAGCGAGGTAATCAGCGTAAAGGGTACAGAGGGTGCGGGGAATCCCTGCGCGGAAGTTATCATAATCTTCGCATGAGGGGATGGTGTCGGAGATGACGCAATAGACCTCTACATTCCTGCCATGTCGTGCTGAAGAAGCACGTGGAGGGGGAAAGTAATTACGACAGAGCGAGTAGGTGGCGTGCAGGAAGACGTTGACGATGAGGCGGGGAGTAGAGCTGGTGAAAAAAGGAAAGGGGGAAAGGTTGCCAGCTGGAAGGAAACGGGGCCCGGCCTACGAGCTGATGGACAACGAGAAAATCAAGGGGATGGCGGGATAATGACCGGGGACGAAGTCCGAGCGCCCGCATCTCCACGTAGGCGAACGGTGGGCCACGGAGGGGGAGAGGATTAAGCCGGCGTTGGACTTTTTCTGCGGCATCTGCTTCTGGATCCGTCCGTGGTGGCGACGCCATTTCCTCCAGATTCCTCCTGCAACGGCTCTGGATTGCGCGCCGGATCACCTTGTGACAGCCGTGTTGCTAGCCCGTCCTCTTCGTTGCTCTGTTCGCTGGGGCTGCCTGATTCGTCCGGTCCACTCCCTCCCAACTCACTCTCCTCTAACTCGTGGTAATCGGGATCGTCGGCTTCAGGCTCCGAGTCTTCTTCTTCTTCCTCTTTGCTTTCCTCCTCTTCCTCTGCGTCGTTGACTACTCCTCCCACCTCCACTCTTCGGATGATCGGATCCCACAAGGTGAGGTCGGTCACGTCGATGACCAGGTAATGGCCCGAAGAGGGGTAGTAGCAATTGTCGCCGTTGAGCTACGTGCACACGGACCACAGTAGATGCGGTACTAGCGTTCGGGTGAGCATGGCTGTAGCGGACTGCTCATCGCACCTCGAAAGAATTTCCAAGCGCAGGTCAACCAAAAGTTGAGCGAGGAACATCAGAACTTCCCCCGTGATTGACTCCAAATGATCGTCCCTGACCTTCTCGAATAGAATCCAGAGTAGTTCTCCCTCCGTATCCGTTCTCCAGGCTTGGCCGATCAGCAGCTCCACCTCGTCATCGGGGACTTCGTCCTCCTCGTCCTTATTGGCCGGCTCTGCCCAATGAAACACTTCTTCGAGAAGGCAGAAGTTGAGCGCGACGTACACGTTCCACCACTCCGCCCACTTGCCGGCCTTTAGGATCGGCATATCCAACTGCCTTATCCGAAAAAAGAGAGGGACGTGCGTAGCGGACTGCCAGAAGGTAGGGATATTAGAAGGAAGCCCGAAAGTTGAGAGTAGCTACCGGTTTATTGGGGCGGCGCGAAGGGAAGAAGCTATCGGATGATGACCTCTGGCACATCAGGAGAGACTCAGAGTTGGCTGAAATCGATGTCGTCCGTGGAGCTGATCCGATCGGTACGTAATGCTAACAGTTGGACCAAGGCGGTCGTGAGATCCCACGCCTAGAGTTGCAATCGTCGGAGGATGCTCGTATGAGATGTTGGGTGCACTGTCGTAAGGTCGCCGGTGAAAGGGACGATTACCGACACGTGGCTGACATTTGGTGGAGACAGCCATAAAAAATCCGACACCTCGGCCAGCACCTGCGCTCGATTGCTGGTCCGTACGAACCGAAATTCTGATGCCGCGTGGATGGCCGCCGTGCAGAAGAACGCTGCGAATCGGGGTAGATCGGGGCTCAACCGTGGTTGCTGCACCTGCCGGATTGACGTGATGTGCCCTCCAGGTCTCATTAGACTCTCGTTGATAACTTGCTCAGTAGAAAAGCTCATGGCTATGGGGAAGAAGGTAGAGAGGAAGGTTGAGAGGAAGGAGAATCAGAATAGTCGAGTTCAAGGTCGTTGCCTTCCTTTGAAATCGAAAGATGACGTAGACGATGGGGGAGAAGAAGAAGAAGGTAAGAGACGAAGGTAGGACACGTGGCGGATGATCAATCGGGCCGATCTGCTTCCTGAGACCTCCGGCGCAAGTCGCACCGTGTTCACTCTGCTAGGACCGAGCTCGACTATGTGATCGCCCGAAGAATAGTGGTGCTAACTTGCCTTGGCGAGCACATTTCCTCACTTGCACACTGTCCCCCAATTTATACTGGGGCAGAGGTCCAGCATTCCCATTGCGGGGCTCATAGCTCCGGACCTGCCGATCGTGGGCCATTTCGGTCATCCGCTGTCTTTTTTTGGCCAACTAGGGGAGGACCTTTTCCATCAACTCCAAGTGGCGTTGGGCCTTGTCTTTGACCGTCGCCCTCGTGGCTCATCGTGCAAGGGTCATTTCTTCATTTAGGCTCGACAGAGCTACACACGCCAGACTACTGGTTCGTAATTGAAAAGGGGTCAGGCAAGTGGACTCATGAGGGGTCGCCCAGTGAATAGCCAGGATGTGGTCTACGATATTGGGCCAAGGCCTTATGTCTCTAGGCGCGATATTTCATCGCAAGGGAGTCTTGATTACCCTATTTGCATTTTCTACCAGTCCATTCGATTGCGACATATGGGGAGCCGTATTGCAAATGGAGACACCATGTATGACTAGGCTCCCCAAAACTTATCCTTGGAGCCCCGTTGTCCGTTAAAATTTTCTCGGTATCCTGATGCACTCCGAGGAAGAGGTTGACATACCGCACGATTTCCATTGTTTGTCGCATTTTACACGGGCAGGCCTCGATCCATTTCGAGAAATGATCCACAAATACCAAAAGAATTGAATACTCGCAGCTATTTGGTACAGGGGGCACAATAATATTTGCGGTATCCATGCTAACCTCTTGGAATGGCCGTTCGACTACAGTGGGAACAATCGACCTAGGCGATTGCATCGACGCCTTATCCGTCGTGCAATATGACACCCGCGGTCTAGGACGCGGCCAATGAGGCCTGGTCCGCAGCCTGTTTTAATATTTTTTTTATACCCCTCAAAATACGTTAATTTTTTTTATTTTTTTTTTAAATATATATATATGTGTTTTTTATATATATATATATAGGGTTGTATGGCTTGGAAAACCCTACAATCCTTTTTTTTTTTTTTTTT